TGATGTAAGCGATGACAGAGATATCTGAATGTCTCCATGACAATGAGGCTGCCTCTGATTCTTATCATTAGGCTATTATGCAGACTAGTTAATAACGTTTACAGAGTGGTTTGAATTCTAAAATACATATTAAATAAATATCAAATGTGAGGTGTGTTCGCTTTAAGAAACCAGGCCTTTAGCATATTCAGAAACAAGAGGCTTGGATGAGACAAATTCAGACTTCACCAATGCCACAGTTCCTGCGTCAACTTACTTCCTGCTGTTACCATTTTTTCAATGAGGCACGATGTGGGAAACAAGGCTATTATTTCTTATATATTTGTGACAGATTCTTATTTGTACTTTTTAGCCCACAAGAAAACAAATATTTCACACAATGTTGGAATTTAATAAATATGCAGTTTATGAATTTTGAGGGCATACTTTGAAATTTCACAGTTGTGCTGGAGAGCTCTCCTTTCCAACTACATACACTATTTTTGCAGCAAACCAGCAACCATCCTATGTTCTTTTTTCTTAATATATATTTCTATATTGATTTCAGAGAAGAAGGGAGGGGGAAAGAGAGACAGAAACATCAATGATGAGAGAAAGCACTGATCAGCTGCCTCCTGCATGCCCCTCATTGGGGACCGAGCCCACAACCCGGGCATGTGCCCTTGACCGGAATTGAACCCGGGTATCTTTCAGTCCGCAGGCTGATGCTCTCGCCACTGAGCCAAACCAGCCAGGGCAGCCATCCACTGTTCCCAATGCCAATGTGGTGTCTGAAAGGTAAATCTGCTTTGGGTGAAGGATGCCCTAGAAGGCCCAGCGGACAAAGGCCAGGGACTGGAGCTTGGTCATGACAGAAAAGGCAGTGCTATGAGCCAGGGCAGAGACATGAGCCCTGGGGAGGTAAGGAAGGCCAGACAGCCAGGAAGAGGCCAATGAGAGAGGAAACCTGGGAGACACTGAACTAAGAGCCACTACGTGAAGACAACTGGCAAGGAGCACAGAGAGTGCAGGAGTGGGGACTTGGGAGCTATCTGGAAATCTGCTCCCACGTGGAAGAGAACTGCTGTCTGAAGGACCAGAGGGAAGCAGATCAGGCAGAAGGAAGGCTTGTCCTCAGCAGGACCTGGACTTGCTAAGTCAGTCCTTTCTTTTGCTCAACGGTGAATCACTTATGCACCAAGCTTCTCTTTGGATACTTTATTATACTATGGAGTATAAGTTATATACTTAGAAAGGACCTTGGAAGCCATCTAGTGATCTAGGAACACAATGGCTGAATAAATGATGATGCTAATTACCCATTAAGGGCCAAAAGAGGATGGAAAGGTCCCTGAAGAGGGTAGGGGAAGGGCCCAGTTTACCACAGCTATAGCTAAAGGAAGGAATATCCCTCAGATGATGGTGGCAAAAATGAAGCAGCCTTCAATTATTTGGAAATGACAACATAGACTAATAGAGTCCACATTTCTCTCTTTCCATCTGGAGACAACCTACTTTATCATTCAGTGGAAGCCAATGTAGGAAAATGAAAGCATCTCAAAGTCAAAAGAGAATTAGAAGCCGTGTGCATTCAGACGAGAAGAAATGAACGAGCTTGAGAAAACAGACCCGGGCTGAGGCAGCGACCCTGGTGGAAGGACGACTCCTGAGGAGACAGCCACCTGGGCTGCGCAAAGGTGCCCTTCCCCGTGGTCCTGGGATGTTCGCTCTCATCTGAGTTGTACTTAAATTCGAGTTTCATTTGGGTTAACAAATAATGTCTTAAAAATGTAAATCTCTCTAGGATGGGTGAAGAATTGTGACTCATACACTTGTGTGGATTAATGCCATGCAGGTGATTATTTAAATGTTTAACAGCAGCTATAGTAGGGGCAGTGACCAGTATTGGGTCAAAGCAGAGCCTGCGGGGCCCCGTGCTGCCGGGTCACAGAGGTCCCTGAGACCCCGTAGTGAGGTGAGGGCCTACACACAGGAGGGGACTGAGGAAGTGGCTAGTTACCAATCATCACCCAAATATTTGATATTTAACAACCAGCACACTTCTGGTATATGCTGGTAGAACACCATCCTGATTCCACAGATCTTTTCATCCTAATAGCTGGGTTATGTAACAGAAAGAGGATTCTGATGAAGAGAGGAGGGAGATAGAGATGAGATACCATTCTGAAGGGCAGTGAACACCAGGGGAGAAAGAATGCAGGAAATATAAAAATGAATAGAAAAATTCTATCCACAAAAATTTTCTCTCCTTTCCCTCCTCCTCTTCTTCCTAACCACAGGCCTCTTGTCCCCAGGGCCCCTCATCATACTAAAGTTAGGCTCTAGGTCAGTTCCCTGAAGACCAATCTGTCACACCGACCATATTTATTGGTTTTCCGAAAATCATTCATAGACTTCACAGTCTTTTGAATGTGTTGGGCTGGCAGGGGTAAGAAGACTGGGAGCTGGGGACCCGGGGGACTCGAGCCTCCTGGCTCTCTTCCTGCCCCGGTTTATCCTCTTTGCCCTTCAGGCTCACCCTCTGCTCCTGGTCTTCCCCCGGGCGCTCCTCTCCCTCCCCTTCTCCAGGGCTGAGGCGGAGCTGAGTGATGCGCTAACACACGCAGTCTGTCCTTCGCAGGGAAAGGCCCCTGTTCTCTGCCCCAGCTCCGACTTCCTGCCGCAGCCTCGGAGCGCTGGAGCGGAGATAAAACTAACATTCCTTAAAATGCTGACACCGCCAAAACAGTCACAAGCTGTTCAAAGCCATCTAATTAGAACTGTTACAAACTTTCCAGTTAAACACGTGCTTGTTTGTTTTTTAATGACAATTGACAAATTTAGTTAATTTGGCAAAGCTTAATTAACAAAAGTAGAAATAGCCTAAAATGCCAAATGTAGGAAAAAATTTTAAAAGGATCAGAAAGAAATCCGTATAAATAGAAAAATTCCCATAGGAAATGCTGATTTTGGCAACATTCAGAAGAAAAATATGTTTGTCAGTAGACTAAATTTTTTTAGGACCTTTCAACAAATTGAACATTTCTTAAAAATGCATGAAGCGGGAGGATGTAAAGAGAAGCGCTATGTGGCATTCCCACCTAAAGTCATTCAAGCACATTTCACATGCGGGCCCGAAAAACCAAACAAATATAAAGCAAGACAAATGGCCTGTTATAAGGTTCCGATTCACACACACCCTCCCTTATCCACGGGGACACGTTCCAAGACGCCCAGTGGATGCCTGGAACCGAGGACAGCACCAAGCCCTCTACGCACTATGATTTTCTACACACACCTTTTCACGTAAAGGAAGCACATTCTGGCTCCTCTTTGGCATATCTGAGTGGCTGGCATCACTACTCTTGTGCTCTGGGGCCATTATTAGGTAAAATAAGGGTGACTTGAACACAAGCGCTGCAATACTGGGACAGTCAATCTGATAATCCTGACGGCTACTAAGTAACTAACGGGCGGGGCATATACAACGTGGAGACAAGGGATGATTGATGTCCTGGTGGACTGGAGCCGAATGGCAGGGGATTTCTCCGCTACTCAGAACGGTGGCACAACTTAACACTTAGGAAGTGTCTACTTTTGGAATTTTCCATTTAATGCTTTTGGACAACTCTTGACCATGGGTAACTGAAACAGTGGAAAGCAAGCCTGCAGGTATGTGGGCAGAACGCTCTATGATACCACATGTGCATAAAGCCAGGCACTGGAAAACCTGTGCGAGGTAACAGTAACCTACGAGAGACAAGCACCTAACTCAGGAAAGCAAGCTTCCGTCAGGGTGACTGGGTATCTTCAACTGTATACAAAGATATATATTTATCTTCAGATACACATGAACTTAATAAACATGTATATATGTGTGTTAAATGTCAAATTCTTAATACTTGTCATAGAAATGAACTTTAAACATATTTCAATAATTAGGATATTTTAGAGAAAGGACAACTACAAATAATAGTTATATTTTTATAGTTTGAATTATATATTTTTTCAATACTTAGAATACCTGGTTTTTAATTGACCAAAATATAATGTAATAAACACTACTAAAAGGAGTTGTTTAATTTAAAAAAATTCTTACAGTCCTAGCTGGTTTGGCTCAATGGATAAAGCATCAACCTGCGGACCAAAGGGTCCCAGGTTCAATTCCAGTCAAAGGCATATGCCCGAGTTGCGGGCTCAATCCCCAGAGGGGAGCGTGCAGGCGGCAGACAATCAATGATTCTCCCTCATCATTGATGTTTCTATTTCTCTCTCCCTCTCCCTTACTCTATGAAATTAATTTAAAAATATACATATCTATATATCTTTGTGTGTATGTGTATAAATATATATACATATATATATATATATATATATATATAAAATTCTTATATAAAGGATTCTTTTTTTTTTTAGCAACATTTGACAGAATGGCATTCTAGCATCCTAGAAAAAAAAAACTAATCCTGCAAATAAGATACATAAAAATTTAGAAAGATTCCACATAAAAATATTGTTTTTATGAAACTAAACTTTATATTAAATTTTTAAATTTGCACTTTGAAAAAACATGTATAGACTTTAATTTTATTCTTATAATATCTGATCAATTCTTCCAAAAATTAAAATTAAACTCCCATAATTCTCATACCATATTGCCACCAAAGGAGTCTGTAACTTGCTTATGTTACATTTTGTGGCAAATTTAATACATCTTTCCCAACCCTCAGGGTCATAAAGATAGCCTCCTGTATTTTCCTCTGAAGTTGGATTCTACTTAACTTGTTTTTCTAAGGAACTGAACAGTGAGGCACTGATATTAACTGTTGGAAGATACAAGCCATGGCTGCAGCCTCCTTCCATCTGTTATTTTTTGGTTCTAAGCAGTTTTTCAGCTTTATGTGGAGGCTAGCTTTCAATAGCACAAATAACTGAAGATTGCTATTTAAAGCAATATACAATAAAGTTATAGTTTCAGGATATTAAAAAATAGAAAAGGATAAGTCATATAATCGTCTTACATGAGTGAACAAAACTTCATCCCTGAGCTCCTCCGAACTCTCATTGGGAGTCCAAGCTTCAGCAAACTGCAGGAAATCCCATTTTTCCTTTTCCCCTTCCTCAGCCTGAAGTCGCTCCTTCCTACCGTTCAATGTGCTCCCGGTAACCTGCGCCTGTAGGAGGGAGAAGCAGTGACCTTCGTAACATTTGCCTCACTGCTGATATTTGCTAAGCAATATCTTGATTTTGCATTTGAATCATAATCCATTAAAGAAAATCATATTGCTTCAACATATCATGTGCTGTAGTCATATAATTATTCAAAATCACAACCAAATTACTAGGTTTCACTAGACAAATTATCCTATTGGCTTTTCTCATAAAAACTTTTATTTTAATATTTATAAACTTTTGAACCTACATATGAATGGCCATTTTGAATATCTATACTCAGTGCTTGAAAACTATCTTTAGTCAAATCCTTTCTATAAACATTCCGCAAGGTTGGGATAAGAGACAGCTCAGGGGACAGAGCAAGCAATGTCCCTCCTACCCTTTCTAGAGTCTGGGTGCAGGGTGTCCTCTATCCAATATTAGCTCTGGATTCAAGAATCCTTCAGAGAAAGGGTTTATTCTTTACTTACGAAAAAGACTTGGTGCTTGAAAGCATTATGGTTCCTTGCTAGCTATCCCTCTCCTCTAGCCTCTAAAGTGGTAGAAGGGCGTGAATACAATAGGAATACACGTAAATTCATGCCTGTCTCTATTACAAAGGATAGCAGGTACGGTACTACCTTTTCTATTATCATCAGTATCTTGGTGTACTTAGGTATCCTTTGCCTGAAAACACTAAAACTCATCCTCTTCACTCATGTAGACTATGGGTTACTGTAAGCTGAGAACCTGGTTTAAACTCAAGCCTTACCTTGCGATTCAACATTCCCCACATGAGGGTGTCCAGAGTCCCATTTGCAATGAGGTAGTGAATATTCACAGAACTGCACTGTCCAATTCGGTGAGCACGGTCTTCTGCTTGCTTTATGTGCCCAGGGTCCCAGTACAACTCAGCAAATACAACGTGAGTGGCAGCAGTAAATGTCAAACCCTTAGCAAAATAAAGTGAAGAAACCAAGATGTAACTAAACTGAGAATATAAAATAGAGCCATGTGTAATAGTCTTTTGAACATATTAAATGGAGAAGAGAATGTGGAAGACTTAAAAACAGATCAGTTTTTCATACTAAGCCAAATTAAGAATATATAATTCATGAAAGGCAGATGAAGACTGCTTACTGCATGACAGCCAGGTGAACTACAAAACACACATTCAAAATGTATTTCCATATTTCAAAAGTCAGCTTGGTGGACACACACACACAGAATTACTTTATCGTCTGATGAGTAATGGATTCACATTAGCACTGTAAAATCTAATAAAATACATTATAAATGAGAAGATAATTTCTAACACATGGTATCCATAGCAACTAGGAGAAAGAAATGACATCCTCTGTTCATTTAATTCATACTGCTGTTCTATAAAGCAAGAAAATCATGTCTCCAGTCGTACTGTTCTCTTCCTGTGAAATTTCTTATGTTACATTCCAAAGGCTCTGAAGTCTACTAGCTTGTATCTCAATATATATAACACAATTTCATTTTTTATGCAATTGCCCTTTATATCAGTTTGAAATAGTGCAACATTAAAACTATCAACTGTCTTGTTTTATAGATAATACATGACATAAACAAATCTCCTCAAACTAAGAGTGAGTAAAAAATGCATGATGTTAGAGTTGGCAGGCTGCGTGAACTGCGACCCCTGCTTATGCTACTGCCACAGGCAGGTGGTCGACAGAAACCCCTGCCGTCCTTTGAGATGACATCCAATCCATGCCGATGCTCACATGCACTGGAGCTTGGAGGGAGGGACGCTTATGACTGCTGTATTGTTATTTTGACATGTGATTTTAACTTAAACTATTTTTATATCTCATAACAACATCATGCTAACCTTCATTCAACGGCGGCATTAGTTCTCAAGCTGAAAAATTCACTGAGGATCAATCACTATGGAACAGAAGTTAGAAGTAATAAAAATATGGAGAGAGCCAAACCACCACCATGCTAGCCTGTGCTGCTGTTTAGGCCAGGGAATGCCACAAAATATTAGAGATGATGTCGAAAAATAAGAAGTCGTATTTAAAGAGGGACACCTTTAAACACGTACAAAGTGTCATGTGACCTTATGAAAATGAAGGAGGAGCATGCTGGCAGGCTCAGCATCAATCTAAGACACTTCTAAACTACAACGGAAGATTCACACACCCGAGAGCAATGCTCTTTCTACTTTCCTTTCTTTCTATGAAGACACCGTGTCCACGTACATGAGTTTTTTTTTTTTTTTTTTTTAAATATATTTTATTGATTTTTCACAGAGAGGAAAGGAGAGAGATAGAGAGTTAGAAACATCGATGAGAGAGAAACATCGATCAGCCGCCTCCTGCACACCCCCCACTGGGGATGTGCCCGCAACCAAGGTACATGCCCTTGACCGGAATCGAACCTGGGACCTTTGAGTCCACAGGCCGACGCTCTATCCACTGAGCCAAACTGGTACCGGCAACGTACATGAGTTTTGAATGATGCAAGGTCTTTAGGAATACAGCCTAGAACAGCGGTTCTCAACTTGTGGGTCGCGACCCCTTTGGGGGTCGAACGACCCTTTCACAGGGGTCGCCTAAGACCATCGGAAAACACATATATAATTACATATTGTTTTTGTGATTAATCACTATGCTTTAATTATGTTCAATTTGTAACAATGAAATTGGGGGTCACCACAACATGAGGAACTGTATTAAAGGGTCGCGGCATTAGGAAGGTTGAGAACCACTGGCCTAGGATATCATGTGAGTGCGCTGTGCAATCTGAACTCAAAGTCTTTTCTCAGGCCACTCCTAAGCTATCCTGCCTGGCTCCGCCTACATTGCTTCTCCTATACTACGAGCACTCCATTTCTAATTTTAAGCTTTTTGGTGATATTTTCTATGTCTGGAATATTCTAACATAGAAAACTCAGATTACTGGAAATTTAATCCAACATGATCATGGAAGTGTTGAGACAATCATCCTTTGGGTTAGAATTCCTAGTGAGTTCTAGAACCATCTGGGTAAATCCTCATGGAGTTTCTCTGTATATACAATTTTATATACACACATTTGCTGGGTAAAAGCATATATTTGGCTCTGGTTCAGATTCAAGTCCACGGAAGATGCCAGATAGGCATACACCAGGCTGGACGCACAGCTATTTATTCAATTACTTTTCCAGATGCTAAATATCGTGGCTTAGACATTTATATTGAAGTATTTCAGAATATTAGTAGAAAAAAAAATCCAGAAGGCTCCCCTCTTCTACAGTGTGGCAGAGACTGCTACTGTCTTCCCCAGTACCTATTCTTGTCTTATTCTTTTGCAAAGTAACACCTGACTTTTAGCACCTGGAAAAAAGGCCTCTTTTCCCAGCCTGCCTTTCAGCGGCTAGTTGTGGCCATGGGACTGACCACAGGCTGGTGAGAGGTAGCATACCTCTCTCCAGCCAGCTGTCTGGATGGCAGCTCTGCAGAAGCTCGAGCAGCCCTCTTAGGAAAGGGAGACCTGCTATGAGTGGTGAAGAAGAAAGCCATGCTAGCCTTGGACTGTCTACATGAGAGAACAAGGTATTTAAGTCTTTTTTAATAAGGGTTTCCATTTATTTGCAGGCAAACATAATTCTTAATATATATATACATATATATATACATATTGATTTCAGAGAGGAAGGGAGAGGGAGAGAGAGATAGAACCATCAATGAGGAGAGAAAATCATTGATTGGCTGCCTCCTGCATGCCCCCCCATTGGAGATCGAGCCAATAACCTGGGCATGTGCCCTGACTGGAAATAAAACCTTGACCTCCTGGTTCATAGGTTGACAATCAACCACTGAGCCACGCTAGTCGAGTGCCAAATGTAATTCTAAGGACCAAACCAGGGGCACGCCATACAAAGTTCTCAGAAACAGAGTTCTTATTCCTCAGGCCATTTTACCTTATGGACTCGGAGGGAAATAACCAAGTAAGATAAATTCTATAAGAAAGGGATGGAAAAATTCCAGATAAATTCAAAGGAAGGAAAAACAGTCATGAAACAATATTACAATCAAATGTTCTATATTCTTCTAGAAAATTCTTTCCTTTAAAATTTAGGAAGATTTCAGTCAGCGGTGTTGAGGTCTCCTATTATACTTTCTAGCACTCTCCAACATAGAATGAGCATTGATCACTCTAGATACCAGATATAAAGTTATCACTATAAGTAATGGCCTTTTTATGATTTCAAAGACATTTTATTATCAAGTTGAGGCCAGAAATTTCTTACCTGACCAGCAGCCTGAATGCTTAGGATAGCCACACGGGTCTCAGGATCCTTTTGAAATTGATTAACCAGATGTATTCTTTCTGAAGACGGAACACTTCCATCTATCCTAACATACCGAGTCTAGCATTTACAAAGGAAACGGCAAATTAGCACAAGCCTGTATGTACCCATCTTATTTTATATACTTTACAGCTTATTTTTATATTCACATAATAAAATAGAAACTGGTTAAGATGACAGGTTAAATATCATACAAGAAGAATCTTAACCAAATTTCTTAATAGCTTCTGATAACAATTTTATGTTTTTTATTGAGTTTTATTTTCAAGATTAAAAACAATTTATTCATTTTTAGAGAGAAGAAAGGCAAGAGAGAGAGAGAGAGAGAGAGAGAGAGAGAGAGAGAGAGAGAGAGAGAGAGAGAGAGATATGAATTGGTGGCCTCCCACATGGGGATGGAACCCAAAACCTGGGTATGTGCCCTGACCAGGAATCTAACCCACCACCTTTTGGTGTATGGGACAACGCTCCAACCAACTGAGCCACACCAGCTAGGGCCTAGCAATGATATATTTTTTAATCTTTTAAGCTATTTGAGGGTAGGAGCTATGCCTAATTCATCTTTATACCATCATTGCCAAGTGCAATGCCTGTACATAACAGGAGTTCCATAAATCATGACTGAATTGCTAATGTTGTCTCAGTAAAATTCCATGTAAATTAATACGCCAATTTTCAATTAAATAATGTATCAGAATAACTTTCTAGTTATAGGACCACTAACTCCAGAGTAAAAGTAAAATCAGACATGCAAGAAAGGAAATAGAGCATTCTGCCCATGTATTAGAAATTCATGAAAAGCAGTACATCTATTTCTGAAATATCCCAATATTAACTGGGAAAATATCTTTTTTAATGCACCATTTGAGTTCTCTTTTTTCACATTATTAAACTTAAAAGAAATATGTATCTCCATTGAGGTGGGGAACAAGACACACACCCATGTTTTTAAGAAGCAGGGAAACATTAAGTGCCTTACTGAACAGTTTTGAATTTTAAGAATGATGTGAGTTGAGAAAAGGAAGCAATCCTGTGTTAGAACAGCTAAAAATAACTTATTTCTCTACTTTGTAAAACAAGAATAAGCCCTGAATTTCAAATAATATCATATGTATGTGCACTTTTATGGAAAACATAGTCTTAAATAGTTGAGACAGAAATATTCACTTATATAAGAAGACAGTCAAGTTAATCACTAAGTAGAATGTCCCTTATTAACTTTCTCTGTCTTCACAAAACAGATATAAATTGACCAGTGATCCATTTACTATCCATTAGGGAAATTATAAATCTTCAGAGAGTCTTTCTAAAGAAAACACATTGTTTTGAGCAGTTCACCTCCAACGCTAGGATACCTACATTTTTCATTCTTAGTGATGTAAATGGGATTCTAAATCCACCAGTAAAGCAGAAGCGAGGAAAAGAAGCAGACTGCTCCTCTTGGAATAGATTCCAGTATTTTAAGGTATAATGGAATCCAAATAAGAAAATCCTGTGAGTCTAATATTAAGGCCCAATCATTTCAAAGTTATTTATAAGGTTCACTCTCCCTCAGAAGGTGTTTTACAGTCACTATGAGGTAATCAATGAGAAAGTACCTTTCAATGTACAGCACCTTATTATCATCAATCTTTCAATGAAGGAAACACTGACATTACTTTTTGGGTAATGATGAATTAATAATGATAAATCTATACTGTACGAAGTAATAAAAAATATGGCTTTATTCCTCCATTTAAAAAAATCCACCTACACAGGCGAGAAGTTCTGCTGCTATGCATCTATCGAGCTCACAGTCTGTCAGGAGGTTTTATCTGGCTGCTTCTGGGCATCGCTAGAAGCCCTCGCACAGAAAGCGATGGCAGGTTTCAACTTTGGAAGAAAAAATGGGAGATGCGGTCACTGACAGGCAGTCGGGGAACAAGGTGGGCCTAAGAACCCTGCAGGAAGGCCAGCAGACTTGCTGGAGCTTACCTGGTGGGCCGCCTGGCCCTAAGCTATAGATTCACTTACACTACCAGTAAGTCTTCGTAATCATATTCTATAGAGCATGCTGCCTGGAGTTTGAAAAGTCTGACTATAGCTGGGCACAAAAATCAGCAGAATTCATCCTTCCTGTCCCTTCAACATCTCCCCCATTCCAAGGGTGCCTTTCGGGTAAACAAAAAATTTAACTTTTAACTGCCTACTATACCAATCTCAAACGGTACATCCATGAACAAAAACTAAATTCAGAACATAGACTATTAAAGCAGCATACTTTAATTAATTCAGATCATTTGATTAGTGGAAAATTATGAGACTGGTATAAAAGGCAAACTTTAATAGGATACCATCAACACAATAGTAATATAATATCAGGGTAATTTTTAAGAAAAATATCTAATACTAATTTATATACCATCATGTAAAACAGGCAAAAAAACACAACTCAATTATAAGACAACTGATGCATCCTGAAAGTACTTTATAGACAAATGGTAACATACCTTGTTTTCTATGACTGCTTCTGTGCAAGCCTGGAGCATGAGTAAGTGGTGAGCGAAAACCAGAAATTTAAGCGAATCGTTCTGAAGCATCATCTTAATATAATCCTTTACAGCACCTGCCTAAATATTAAAGTTAAACCTTATTCTTATTAACGTCATAAAAATGTTTATTAAAAGTCATTTTACTTTCTTCCAATAAATCAAGAAAAATTCAAACATTGATACATTTCTATGAATTTCTAACTGCTTTGTGTTCTAAGTAGCCCAAGGAAATAGAAGGTCACATATAATAGTGAGTGGGAGAAAAGGGACAAAAGAGGAAAAAGAATATATTCTTGTTGAGAAAACAAGAATATAGAAATTAGGAGGAAGAAAAAGATGACAAAAGAGTTTAGGTGGAAAGTAGACTCTAGCCAAGAAGAGGTTGGTGGTTTTTTCCTGAAGGTAATTTCAAAAAAGTTCATATACAAGACTAAGTGGAATAGAGTTAAGAAGAAAATGAAAGGTAAAAAATCAGATGAATAGCATAATTTTTTTTTTTTAAAAAGGGAGGACTAGAAAAGAATGAGAAAGCTGGGACTGAAGCTTAACGCTTAAGAAAAGTTTGTTTATTCATTGTTTAAGCTAAAAAGTTAAGTAGATTTACAATTAGGGCACTTTAGGGAGAAATGGAAAATGAGAGGCTTCAGTTTGTCTTCAGGATGGAGAAGGTTCAGAAGAGGCTGGAGTAATGAGATTAAGAGTACAGAAGGGAGGTCTGAGAGAGCAGGGAGATACAAAGAAATTGTTGGGTAGAAAAGAAAAAATTTTAAAAAGTGCAAACTAAATAGGCTTTTCTTAGTTAACGGGAGGCCAAATTACCTATTAAGAGTAAGAAATCAATCTGAGATGAATCAAATAAGACAAATTTAAAGTGGATAGCATGAATTAAACCTAAAACACAAATATAGCCTCTTAACTGTTAAAACTAGTTACTTTGACATTTTGGGAAAAAACAGTAGGCGGAACACATTTAACCTCCATCCCTCTCAGAGCTGTATTTAAATAATAGCAAAGTATATAGGGAGAAAGCATTGGAGAGGGATCAACAGCAATAAAACTTTAGAAGCTAAAAAGTAGACAGATGCCTGGTAACTGATCAGCAGTTACCTAACAACAGTTCCTAAACTGTCAGTATGAAAAACCCAGAAGAGAAGCACCTGGCTTGCAATGTTGTAATCTTAAAAAGTTCGGGAAATGACACCTCTGGAGGGAGGAAGGGGATGTGTCTAAAACAGGAAGATTGGTTGAAAGAATGTTTAGTAGTTGATCATGCGCAACACTCATCCATATGCTGTCTCTCCCATTCCATACAATAGTGACTTCCTATCCCATCCTGGCAGAAAACTAGAGATTTATTTTCTAGAGTGGGTAAAGCAAGGTATCTGGATGGAGGAATCCCACATCGACAGTAGGCTATCCAATAAAAATCCCGGGGAATAAATGAAAGTTACATAATAGATGCTGAGATCTGCTCTTCTCTCTCAATCTTCTTACCCCTCACAGGCCCATACTCTCTAGGCAGAGAACAGAATATAGAAAATGATTCTTTTCTGAGGAATCTGACTAACCAAAGAGAAAAGACTAAAGATATTGATACTGGGGGTTCCTCAGCACAACATCCCAGTCAGATCATCTTTTATTTTAATCCACAGTTTACAAGCCATATCCACAAATAGAGTTTCCAGCCATCATTTAGTGTCTTACTTGTAAATAAAAGCAAAGAACCAAGGATCAGCAGGCATTTGTAGAAAGCAACCTATATGAACAGATCAACTGTACAAAGAGAAGAAAATTAGGAGGGATTACAATTATAAAACAAGAATAGCATGCTACAAAAAAAAAAGTAATAAAGAGGAATGGAAGTATTCTTGGTAAAAAATATAATAACAGAAATAAAAAATTCACTGGTTATTAAAATAAGAAAGTCTTCCAGAAAAATTATTTAAAATATCTAAAATATAAGAAAATTAGATGACCAGGCCATCAGGGCAATATATGAATAAAAAGTTCTAGAAAACAATGAAGAGAAAACAGAGGAAAGAAAATAATCAAAGAAATAAAAATGTTTTACAGAACTTAAGGACTTAAGTTTCCAAAATGGAACATGGCAAAGGCCTAAGAAGATTCTGCACAATGGATGAAAATGGACCCAGAGCAATGTCCATCATGAAACTTTATAATACTGGGGACAAAGAAACGATTCTATGAGCTTCCAGAAAGGAGAGGAAAAGATTTCACAAAATCAAAATAGAATAAAAATTTTGAACTGCATTGGATACTTGAATATCAATACTAAAAATTCTAAGAGAAAATGATTTCCAATTAAGAATTTATATCTAGCCAAATTAAAAATCAGATAAAAAAACAGAATAAAAGCATTTTCAAATATGCAGGGATTAAAATAATTTACCTCTAATATACACTTTTTTAGAAGGCTATTGAAGAATGTGGTCGAGCAAAATAAGGGAGCAGACAAATGAAGAAAATAATCCTTATATAATAAAAGGCTAATATGCAAATAGACTGAATGGTGGAACAACTGAACAACCGGTCGCTATGATGTGCACTGACCACCAGGGGGCGCTCGCAGAACAAGGCCGGCGTCGGCAGCAAGTGGCAGAGCACGGAACATGCCCAGCGTCAGCCGTGGTGGGATGGTGGAGCAGGTGAGCGGGGGCACCAGACCAAGGCGGGGCGCTGGTCGCTGCCATCGGGGCGAGCCTCTGGTGGTTACTGAAAATTCTTTGCTCCCGCACGCCGCAGTCCTGCCTGGCGCTCAAACCTGCTGCTGGCGCCCGGTGCTGGCCCTGATCACTCAGTGCTGTCGGTGGGTGCGAGTGGCGGCTGCAGGCCCCGATCACCCCTCAGGGCTTCTCCACCCCTCCGGCTCCTGAGGGGTGATTGGGGCAGCAGCTACCGCTTGCACCCGCTGATGGCACTGGCCAGCACAGAGGATGGGCCGAGACCCGCCCCTGTGCCCACCACAGCCTCGCGACCCACAGTTCCTTTTAAGGTGCACGAATTCATGCACTGGGCCCCTAAGTATCAAATAAAGACGTAATTCAGCACAGGAATAAATAGAGAAAATCCCCAGGATGAGAGCTCTGCAGCAGACTGGATGAGCAACAGTCCCGACTGGAGTGGACCAAAGGCTACAGGGCAATTTTTTTTACATAGATTAAAATTAATAGAATGCTAATGTTTAAAGATATTGAGAGGAGCCCTGGCCGGTGTGGCTCAGTTGGTTGGGTGTTGTCCCATGCACTGAAGGGTCACTGGTTCGATTCCCCGCCATGACACATGTCTGGGTTTCATGCTCAGTCCCCAGTTATGGGGTGCAGAAGGCAGCCAATCCATGTTTCTCTTTCACATTGATGTTTTTCTCTCTCTTTCTTCCTCTCCCTTCCTCTTTCTCTAAAATCAATAAAAATATATTTTTCAAAAAAATTGAGAGAAAATCGCCGAAACCGGTTTGGCTCAGTGGATAGAGCGTCGGCCTGCGGACTGAAGGGTCCCAGGTTCGATTCCGGTCAAGGGCATGTACCTGGGTTGTGGGCATATCCCCAGTGGGAGATGTGCAGGAGGCAGCTGATTGATGTTTCTCTCTCATCGATGTTTCTAACTCTCTATCTCTCTCCCTTCCTCTCTGTAAAAAAATCAATAAAATATATTTAAAAAAAAATATATTGAGAGAAAATTAAACCACCAGGGAAAAGTCTGAAGATAAACTATTAAGAATGATATATAGAAGAAAGAAAACATACCCATAGTATATTGCACAGTTCTCCTGTAAATATTACAAATATGGTTCTAATAATATACATGGTGAATATTGACCAAGCCAAAATCAGCATCAGTTACTATAAAATTAATAAAGTATAACTATATCCATCCATTCATGCATCCATCCATCCATGTACCCACCTACCTACCTATCTCTTTGTTGGGAGAAGGGGAATTCAGAAAAGATGTAGATGTGTGGGAGGGAAGAGGGGTGAAGGAGCTAAAATTTTATCTTCCCCATTGGGAAGCCAAATGGTGACAGCTAAAATTATAAACAAACAGTAATACAAACCAAGGAGCAAGATAAACATGTAACTGAGGGATTTGAGATAAATACTAAAAAGATCAGCTACAAGAAAAGGAAGCGGTTGCCTTTGGGGAATAAGGTTAGGGAACTGTTATATTTTGAAATGGCTATTTCTCCTCATTCAACTATGACCATATGTGGCTTTGGTAGTAGTAAAAAAAAAATTAAAACAGGGGCATTTCAAAATTGAAAAATACCTATTGAAAGCTGATTTGAAAGCCCATTTTTGTATGTCTAAATTTTCTAAACAATAGTTATTCATCACACAATGAGACTGGAAGCTGTTAAGAACAGCCTTGGGTTTCAGTGCCTCAGAAAGTGGAAATGAAGCCCTCTCAAAATAAGGAGCTATAAATTCCAGATATGTTGCCATGGTAACTGAACCACTTTAATAAACTTCATGTTTGCCTAAAGAGCTATATTTACCATGATAAGCCTTTCAAAAAGTACATGGCAAGTTGGAGTCTTTTTAAGGTACATTCATTTCCCATCCACTGCAGCCTAATCACTGTACCCCAGCATCAGACACATTCCGTGCCTCTTCATAAGAAAGCATTTCAACCAGAAACTGCTGATGCCAAAGCACAAGCCCCCCACTCCTGACTCCTTCCAATCCACTGGTTCAGAATAATTTATGGTTACTATTAATTTTATAAAGTTCAATCATATTATGGGCTAAACAGTCTCTTGGGACTAAATTTAGTAACTTAATCATCTTTGTGATATTGCTTCCTAGGAGAAAATGCATTTGGAGAACCAAAATAACTATGTACAAACATACTTTAGGATTATTTTAGGGTCATAGGTTGGGATTACATAGATTTGCATCCTAAAACATACCATACATGCATTTTAACTATTCTGATTTTATTCTTTTTTTTTTTTTTATCCTCACCTGAGGATATTTTTTCCATTGACTTTTAGAGTGGAAGGGAGAGGGAGAGACAGAGAGAAACACCTATGTGAGAGAGACACATCGATTTGTTGC